GATTTTGTTTTTTGAGCCTCATTGGAATACTATTAGACGTGGAGACTTCAGATTTGCTGTGTATATACATATGATGAATATAAACATTTTGTAATCAACAGATTTTGGATACCACGGCCCCTTCGTCCCCAATTTGTAAAAAACGTATTTCAAGTACTAGAAACTTGTGCTTTAAAATGTACACACATTTTGACCATATAATTACGCCCTGAAAATTTCATTAAGATCGTATGTTTACAAAAGAAGTTATTCACCAAGTAAATTCTCATACTATTGCCCACACTGCAGCGCAGCCCAAGCGCAGTTAGCAGAGCGCGGGCGCGTGAGGGTGGATGCATGTGTATGTATGTGTGCGTGCATAAAAGAAGTGCAAAATGATAAGAATATTAGCTTGGAGGGTTCAGGGTATCTCCTAGTCGATCAGTCTCGGCTAGAGTCTTCTTACTTGTTTATTTTACCATTAGACTTTTCCAATTATTTTAATTAATTAATTATGCTACTGTGCTAATTAATTACTAATGGTTATTATTTATATTTAACTATATTTTGTGTATGTATTACTACTAATGTAGAAAGAGAGCACAAAGTAGAAATCAACAATGGTGTGATGGGTATTTCAGTCTCTCTTCACGAAACTCAATTCTCGACAGCTCAAACATTAGCTGATGATGATATAGTTAAATCAGAAATTTAATTGTCTGCTCAAATTTAAATTATTATTCCACCTATCCATTCAGAAGGGCCGGCCTTGAATTACAAAAGGCAAGGAATGCTGCTCTCCTGTGGAACAGCTGTAAAAGCAATTAGATAATGACAATTAGCAGTAGACAGCAGCAATAAAATTGTTTATCGTTGTTTGCAATAGAAGACAAAACATTATATTGCGTAAATACCTCAAGTAATCAACACATTATCAACTTTTGCTTAATTACACATGCTGTGCGGATCCAGACGCTGCGGCAGATGCTGCAGCTGCAGAGATACAGATTCAGATGTGGATATAGAGTTTCTCGCCGAGCTGGGGCGAACGTAATATGACAGCAAACAGCGTTGCTGATTCCAGCAGTTGTGCAGGGCGAGTGCACAGACAGATACACAATACTTGCCCAGTGAAGGGCTGTGCAGAGTGTGGCCGAATGGTAATTGATATATTTAATAACTTAACTAAATAGAAAGCTTTTATTGTGATGCCCGCCTCAGCAGAGGGTGAGGATATTTGCTTATTTGTGTGGAAATTCGAAATTTATTTATTGGATCATTGAATGCCTATTGTCTAGACAGTGCTCGCATGCAGAAGTGGACGAAATACATTCAGTTAGACACATTGTATATAGCGAAGCAAGGTCCAAGTCCTGGGCAAACAAATCAAGAACTGATTGCAAATTTAATGGGTTTTAAAAATTCCAAATTGCTAAACAAGCTCTAAGCTCTGCATTCTGTTTGTGCACACAGCCAGGTGTGCTTCTGCCTGAGCGTATGTATATGTTGTGTCTGTGTGTGTGATTTTACATACGGATGTCACGCCCACTGTCCAGCGCTCACAATTACGTTATGGGCGCCAGCCGTGAAACCGCAAGCTGCTGCAGCTGCTTGCCTAAAGTGGAATTGTTTGTAATGCGACATCAACCTCCAAGAGGGACTCCCATGAGTGGGTCGTGGGCAGTGGAGAGCGGAGTGCAGAGAGTGGGGAGTCGCTGTCATAGTTGGCAATTAATTTAAGATTTTCATTTTCATTAGCTCAGTTAGCCAGTTGACTTGGAGTGCCAGAGGTATTTCGTGATCTCCTTTGTATGCAGAGTTAACAGTTTAAGTGAATTTATCCGCCTCCTCCACAGACTTGCGAAGATTGTTTTTTAATCAACATTAACGCATTAAAGCATCTCCGGACGCAGTTGGCAGACACTTCCAGCAGGATTCGTTTGAGGCTTTCGTCATGCTGTGCAGCTGTATTGCTGACTGCAGTCCCTTCCTTCCCCTTGCCGGCCCCTGCCGAGTCAACCACTGGCAGTGCTTAAATATGTGTGCCGTAATTTAATTTCATAAAAGCAATTGTATTCCTGCCATGTGGCGACTAAGTTCGCCTGGGCTAGCACATGCCAAAGCCGAGAGTCGAGAGCTGGGAGACGAGAGCCTCCACAAACTTCGTTGCCATTTACTGGAATGACAAAATGACGTCGCTTCCAACTCTGAGCTGGAGCTGCCAGTGAGAGTGAGTGCCGCATTTATTTTATTTTTTGTAAGTTTTTCTTTTTTCTTCTTCTTTATTTTTATTTTAATGCCAACACCGAGAGTCAACGCAGACGATGAGCATTTTCATTGTCTTGCCTGCCGTCGGCGTTGAGAGTCGCATATTTGACATTGGACTTGTGTGCTCTGATAGCGCGCCAGCAAAAATATCACAATTGCTGGCAACACACCGGACAGAAGAGCACACTCACAAGTGCACACACACATACGTAGACAGCTGCACACATTACATATAATTCTGCATGTTTACTTTGTGTGTGCGTTAATATTTTTGTTGTGGCTCCGACAACGCTACGTATGCGCAACGTGCGGCAAACACAATGCGAGGCGAGGCTGCTTCGCACACACTGCACTCTCTCATCATTTATGCACAAACGTTGCCAACTCCTGCTCCTCCGACTGCATTTTTACTCGCCAGCTCTGTTAAGTTTTTGTTCCGCAGGCGGAGCCGCTGGGAGGGAACGGCCGTAGCTACGCCAGTTAGCGGGCGCAGCCTAACCACGTTGCGGAATTTACCCAGACAGAGAGCAAAATAAAAGGCAAAGAAAGAAGCCGCGGTTTAAGCATTTTCAAATTTAATTTAACTGCTGAAAATGGAAACTCAACCCCCAATCATACATCCAAAGGGTGCCAATGTATTAAGAATGGCATCGCCCTTGTTTGAAGTTGAGCCACGAGAAGATGTGTACAAACAGAATTAATACGAATTTACGTTTCAATGATAA